GGCTATGTGGGCCCTGTCCAGACAAGCTGAGGATGCCGCACTGCTTTCTCAGTGGCTTCTCCCTCTACTGTGCAGTTTTCCTCTTCCTAAGGTCCCCTCTTCCTTTTGCCCACTTAACTAGTCCCATCTCCTTTGGCAGTCTGATTACCTCTGTGGCCCTCTTGCCTCTTTGCAGAACTATTCTCTCCCTGTCTCCTTTAGTGGTTAGGAATTTCACTGTACCTGTTAAGCTGCTGCATGTTCCTATAACCTTAATAAATCAGTAAAATGAGTCTCCCCTTTTGTTCATGATTGACGTTCAATTTTCTCCCTCTATCGTACGTTCCTTTTGTCTGATACCTAGTGGGTGCTATAACCACTGTGGACCAGCCATCTGGGAGACTTACTGAACCAGAGTAGTTACTTTTTAGCTCCTGAATTGAGTTGTGTCCCCACATCCTTTAAGGCTGCCCATAGAATTCTAAGCCCAGTTGCTGAGCCGAGTAAAGTAGGGCTGAAGGTTGCACCTTTCTTCCAGCTGCTGGATCAGTATTAGTGAGTAGTGAGGCTGCTCTGTTGTCCCTATCACACCAACTCTGTGAATGCCTCTAGCCTCTGGAGGTGCCTTTTTTTGATGGGAGAGTAGGGGTAACTTTTTATTTTAAAACAATTTCAAATTTATAGAAAAGTTGCACAAATGATACTTAGAACTCCTACATACCCTTCCTCCAGATTCCGCAGTTAACGTTACCACATTTACTTTAAGTTGTCTCTCCATACACACACATATACTTATGCTTATTATTATTTTTTCATCTGAACCCTTTGATTGTAAGTTGCAGACATGGTAGCCCTTTACTCCCAAATACTTGACTGTGTATTTCCTCTTAACAAGGACATTCTCTGACAGGACAGTACTATTATCAGAATCAGGAAGCCAACACTTGATATAGTACTATAATTGAATCTACAGATTCTGAGTTTGTACCAGTTGTCCTTAAAAAAAAGTGTTTTTCTGGACTAAGATCCACTCCAGGATCATACATTGAATTTAGATGTCATGTCTCTTTAGTGTCCTTCAGTCTGGATTGGTTTCTCAGTCTTTCTTTGTCCTTCATGACCTTGACATTTTTGAAGTATAAGGCCACATATTTTGTAGAACGTACTGCTATTTGGGTCCTCATGATCCAGTTCAGGTCATGCAGTTTTGGCAGGGACTCTGGTGCCATCTTAGTACTGTGCTGAAGGAGTACTAAATGGGGTCACGCGCGGAGGCTCAAGGCTCCAGGCCAGAGTAGCACCTTCAGCCAGGCCACAGGTAGAACAGAAACAGCTTCTACAGGGGCAGACCAGTGCACTGGTTCTCTCTTTGTCCTGCTTTTCAGAATCCTCTTAGGTGCTGGCACTTGTGCTTCACCTCTGGGCCCAGCTTTCCTGTGGACTTGGTCTCCCTCCCCTAAGAATTTGCTGCCATCCCAGCGCCCCAGGCCTTACTCGGGGGCCACAGCAGACATAGGCCCAGCTCTCACCCTTTGCCTCTGCAGCTCAGCTGTCCTCCCCTGAGGACGAGGATGACCAAGATGACATCAAGGTGTCTGCCTTCGTCCCGGACCTGAAGGAACTGCTCCCCAGTGTGAAAGTCTGGTCAGACTGGATGCTTGGCCACCCAGATACCTGGAATCCTCCACCCACGTCCCTGGATCTGCCCTCACAGTGAGTCCACCTGCTCATTCCTTCAGCACTGCTGGCCTGGGCCCACCTGTGTTCCCATAGCTCCCTTCTTAGTCCTCTTTGTTTCCTCCCACCACCCCTCCATCTGCTTGTTTCTCTCTTCCCTCCTCATTTGAACTTCAGTTTTTCCCTCCCTGAACATCTTCTTTGACCCCTGATGTTGTAGGTTATCATTGCCCATTCCGTAGTCTGTTCCTCCTCATTTGTCATTTTCCTTTTCTCTCACTCCATAGCCTGCTGTATTTTAGTCTTTGTCCTTGCACCTGCTTGCCCATTCTCACTTCATATTGTTCATATTCACCACCTCTGCAGCTGCCTCTTGAGTCTGGGCATGTGTCAGCATGTGTGAGAGACTTGTGTCTTTCTCTCCCTTTTAGTTTATCTTTTATCTCCCTGTATCTTTCAGGCTATCTCTCACTGCTTCTTGTGCTGTCTTATGCACTCTGTCTCCTTGCCTTCCTCTCATGATATTGTAGTATGTGGGGAGGACGCGTATGCCGTGTTCTCTTCCATTCACTTCAATCTCTATCTCCTCAGCATTCCCCACCCCCATCTGTGTGTCTGTGTGTCAGTGTGGTATCTGTCAGAGCATCTGTTAGTTTGGGATGTGTTGGTCTGGCTGGTATTTGTGTCTGCCTGCATGTGTCTATGTAGATCTGTTCATGTGTTCTTATGACTTTTTTCTTTCTTTTTTAAAATTGTGGTAAGATATATATGTTTGCCATCTTAACCATTTTTAAGTATACACTTCAGTGGCATGTTACATTCACGTTGTACAACCATGTGTAGCTGTTTTTGTGTTCATATCTGTGTGTGGGTTGTAGCTCTCTGTGCTTCTTTGGGTCTGGTTGTCTGTGTGTGTCTGAGTGTATTTGTCTCGGGATTTATCTATCTAAGAGTCTTTTGGTGTGCCTGTCCACATCTGTCTGTGTATCTGTGTCCATGTATTCCTGTGTGCTGTGTCTGTATCTGCGTCTGTGTCTGTCTATCCTTCAGTGTGTAGGTCTCTTTGTGGGGGTTCATGTGTACCCCTGAGAGGACTGTTTGTGTGTGTGTGTGTCAGTGTGTCTGTGTGTCTCCAAGTCTCTGTGTCCACATGCATGTCTGTGTGTGTCTGATTCAGGGTCCATGTCAGTCCATGTCTGCTTTGGTCCTGTCTGTTTCTCTTTGTGTGAGTATCCTATGGGAAGGTGTGTCCATGTCCGTGTTTGTCTGTGACTGTGTCTGGTGTCAGTCTGGGTCTTTCTGTTGGGGTCCAGGGGTGGATTTCTCAGTATGTGGCTCTGCCTATATCCACCTGCCACTGCCTGTCTATGCCTGTGTTGCCCTGCCTGACACAGCTTGTCCCGGCCTGTCTGCCTCTGTTTGCCTCTGCTGTTTGTGTGTGTCTTTATCGGGGCCATCAAGCTATGGCCAATGAGCTAAGAACAGTTTAGATTTTTAAATGGTTGGGAAGACATCAAATGAATAACATTTTAGGACTTGTGAAAATTGTATGTAAGTCAGATTTCAGTGTCCATAAAGTTATATTGGAACTGGCCATGCTTACTTGTTTACACTTGTCTATGACCGCTTTCATACTGCAGCAGTGGAACGCATGAGTTGCGATGGAAACCGTATGGTCTACGAAGCCTAAGATATTTGCTCTCTGACCCATTACAGAAAAAGTTTGCCAACTCCAGACCTATATCCATGTTCCCATGTCTCCCATTCTTCTCTGTTAGTGTCACTGTGTGCTTGTGCCTGCACAAACATGTCTTAATATATGTGCTTATCGGTGCCTGTCTCTGGTCAACTCCATTGACTCTCCATCTCTCGCTCTCCCTCTTCCTGTCTGTTCCTCTCTTGGATTCTCTTGTCTCTCTGTCTCTGCTTCTCTCTACTTCTCCTGTCCCTTTCCCTCTCTCTCCTCCCTTCCTCCCCATTCTCTTTTGTGGTCTCTGGCAGGTGTAGTACACTCGGAGCTCCTTCAGGCTTTATGTTAGGTGTATATACATGTGTTTGGGAACTAGCTCCCATACCCAACATTTCATCATTTTTCTCCAGTGCTCTTTTTTGGGATGGGGAATATTCTGGAGGATAGCGTATGGAGACCTAAGCTGCTGCCAATGGCAGTTTTAGAGAGTGGGTAGAGGTGTTTCTCTGGGCTGAGGCCATGTGAGTCTCCTGAACACATGGGTGACCCAGAGGGAAGGCTGCAACAGAGATTTCTGTATAGCCAGAAACTGATCTTTCTTTATGAACTGTATAGTCTCTTTCCCCCTTTCTTCCTATTTTTTCCTTATTTTTCACCCAAAAAAGCACCCCTGGATTACTAAGCCCTTTATCTGCATCCTCTCTCCCCAGCCCCAGCCCCCAGGTTGAGCTCTGTAACCATGTGGGTGATGCTCACAGCATCAAATCATTCTCTGCAACCTTCATGTGAACCTTTGTAGATTTTCAAGTATACTCCAGGCTAAGGCCTGATGAGCCAGGGGTGAGCCCTAAGCTGAGCATCTAGGGCCACACAAAGGATTGGACTGATGTGCTGGCTAGAGGGCAGCTGTTTCCCAGCAGTGTTCCCCAAAGAGTTAACATGTACTGCCTCAAATTTTTCAGGCCTTTAATCTATAATGCTAACTAGGCAGTTTGTAGTTTTGGAAAGAAACTGTGGCAAGGAAGGACTCAGCTCTCCAAATATCTGACGCCACTGCTTCTCGGCATATGCAGGGGTCACAGAGTGTTCCTCCCTTCTTCTCAGCAGGTATGGAGGCAGACCATCTGTCCCTGAAGCTTGGGCCTTCCCTGGGTCACCTCACAACCACAAGTCCCTTAGATACTGTCCACCCAGCCCATTTACTCATATCCTGACCATCAGTCCTGTTAACTCTCCTGTGAGCCATCTCCTTTCATCCCTCTTTCCTCTCTCACTCTCTTTGGCTTTTGTTTAGCTGAGGAGATGGAAAGCTCACATAGGAAGTGCTGGGCCTCATTTGCTTGAGGTGCTGAGTCTGTTTTCTCTTTGGATGCTGGAGCAAATGGCCTGTTGCCGGCTTATACAAGCTGCTGCCCATCTTTGGGCAAGGGCTCAATCTGCAGCTGGGCACGTGGTCCCAGCTACAGCCATCCCCAGCTGCACTTCACTTCCAAGGCTCAGAGAGACATAGAGGGTTGGGAACTTGAATCAGATTTGATTGTTCTTTTCAGACTCTTCTTCACAAGGAGACCAAGTCTGACCAAATAATATATAAAGGCTGGTCACCTAGTAAACAAGTCCCTGTAGCTGTGGGCACCACTACTCTCTGATGAATACAATCTAGGCTAGAGAAGTCAGTGTGGTAGAGAAGGGAGTTAGTCCTCTTCTGCTCTGTCTCTCTCTGCCATCAGGATCAGCAGCTGATTATCTCTAGAATGCAAGTTTAAGCATAAAGGAGGGACTTTGCTGTGTCAGGGCCTGACCACAAGGCATGGTGGTTTAAAAGGGCTGGTGCCACTGTTGGACAGAGCAAATGGCCTGACCACTACTGAGGGTAGTCCCACCTCATAGCCTGCTGATCCAAGTACTGGAAAAGTGGAATCAGAATTCACCTTCCTCCTTTCTAGTTTCTCACATAGCTGCCTAACACTCACTGAGTAAATACTGTGGTTAAGAGGTAAGGTATGGTGGTTCTGTGGGTTTCTAAGTTCCGTTTTATGCTCACTGATCTTCCATGCTGCAGAGCTTTTTCTTTTAAGGCCATAGGGAATAACATGTTCCAGATAGTTCTATAGATGTCAGAACAGTAATCCCTCTGATACTCCTAAGGTCCTTGTGCTGCTCTTCATTTTGGAGGGTTTAGGAGTGCTCTCAAGAGAGTAGGAAGGAATTGGCTTCCACTTGACGCCTCTCCTTTGCATGTTTTCATTGGTCTTTGCCTACGGTTATTCTCTGCAAAGACAAATTCTTTATTGATCCCAAGATAGCCTCCATTTCAGTTTGCCTCTCCTCCAGAAACCCCCATTCCCAAATAGTCTCCCTGACACATTTGGACCCTCATTTAACCTTGCTCCCTTCAGTTGTTCCCCATCTTTCCTTGTACAGTTAGAGAATTGTTCAGAAGCATCCTCCACTTTCCTGGGGGAGTTCCAAAGCTCATCTCTTTAGTTCTCCCGTCTCCCATATTCCTCTTCTTTCTGGTCAGATCTCCTTTTCTTAGGCATGTAGAGGCACTGATGATGATGACAGAACATTGTTGACTCTGCATGGTTATAACGACAGGCTTTCAGAGCCATGTGTGCCTTCCCACACAGTGGCACTTAACTTAGTGGGCTGGAGTCATGTGTGCTGGAGTCAGCATGTAAGTAGGTTGACTTTCCATTTGTACCCATTAGGAGTTGTGATAGGATGGCTTTGTATCTTAGGAGATTTTTGTACAGAGGATTATAGCAGGGTGTGGAAAGTTGCCTTGGGCCACTGTAAAAGATAGTGTAGAATGCTTTGGTCTATTTAGAACAGACCACAGTGTTTGGAGGGACCATCTACTTGCGGGTGGGGTGAGAAGTAGGGAGCTCAATTTCTGAACCAGGCCTCTTTTTAGAAGGGAAAGGCAGCTACTTTCTACTTTACCAAGTGAGCATGAGACAAGTTGTGAATGTCAGGTGATGGAGAGGAACCAAGCAACAGACTTCCATGCGCCTAAGCATAGTGACCCCTTGTGTCCCAGGACCTTTGGCAAGGCTAGGGCAGTGGGACAATCCACTTCATTTCATAGTCTCTGCTAAAGCCAAATCTTCTCTCATCTTGATCTCTAGTTCTCAGTAAGTGAAAGAGTCAGGGGACTTTGAGAACATCCAAACCTAGCCCAGCTGTGGCAGTTGGTTTATTGCTTTCAGCTGGTACTTGAACCCAGGTCCTGGTCTTGGAGGCTTTCCCAGGTTTAATCCCCAGAGCTTTCTCTGCAGCTGTATGACACTGCGCTGACCCCGAATGAGGATAGGAAAATAGAACCAGTGCCAAGCCAGAG